CAGGCAGGCAGGCAGGCAGGCAGACAGACAGACAGACAGACAGACAGACAGACAGACAGACAGGCAGGCAGGCAGACAGACAGACAGACGACGTTTTCAATTCAATTCAATTTTATTTGTATAGTGCCATTATTATTATTAACCATTAAGTTATCTCAGGACACTTTTCATATAGAGCAGGTCTTACAAAATTATTGATGGAGACCCAAAAATTCCAACAAACATATCACATGTTCATCTGTCTTTTCTCAAACACGTTTACACCACAGGGACTTAAACTGAGTTTCTACATAAGTAGACAAAAGTCGACTGTTAGTTTGGTGAGAAGGGAGGGTGGACAGACATAATCATATAATATCACAGCAGAGACATGTAGGTTGCACAATGCCAAAATATTTGTATGCATTGATTTCATATTGAGATTTGTTTTTTGATTTTATTCTGTACTTTCATTTTGTTTTGTGGGTCATCCGTTTGTTCTTTAGCTATAGAGAATATTTGACACACAATTTATGCATACTGACATACTTCAGGTTTGTCTTGACTTAATGTTTTGAGAGCAGCAATAGCGTTTCAGTCAATGTGCCCAAGCAACTGAGAAAATTTTTTACTAGAAGCTTTAGTACTCTTTCTAGTTTTTTTGTTACAAAATAATTGTTTTCATTGAATTTAAGAAAGAATCCTGACTTCATGCACCATCATGCACCCTTCAACAGGTCACACTGGCTTTAAAAGTTTCTAACAAAACTCTCTTGGGTCTTTCACAGGCTGCAACAAATCCCAACTCCATTGCCATGGCAACAGCCAATCCTGCAGAGCCCAAGATGAACTCCACTTCGAAGTGGTCCAAAATAAAGATTGTAACAAAGCAGACCGGGGACGAATGCATCACAGCTATAGAGATTGTCCCTCCTGTAGAGGGAGCCGAGAGGCATTCAATCCCAATCAGCCGTCCAAGGACTGTGGCGAGAAAGTTTGCAAGCATTGCTAGAAGTCAAGTGAAGAGGAAAAGACAGATGGCTGCGAGAGAAAAGAAAGTATGTTAATGTTACACTGCACAGACATAAATGGATACATAGTGTGCTGATGGACCGATATACATTACATAAAGTGGCTGTTTTTGATTGGCAGTGGATGAACACAAAGGCATAAATGAGTGTTTGTAAGGAGAGTAAAATTATGTCTTTCTACTTGAAATTATTTTGATTTTCTAAATGTTTATTGTTTGCATTGCATTTTTTGGTGTGAATTTAATTAAAGGGATAGTTTGGGCGTGGTTGTATAAGTTACTTGTCCATAGTGTATTACCTGCAGTTAGACGGAGATCAGTTTAAGTGCTAAAGTTAAGTTAAGGGCTAAAATAAGTTTTAAAAAATTAAAAAATTAAAAAAAACCTGACCTATTCCTTGAACTGGTTTGCTTGGTCAAAATAACATGGTAATTATATAAATATAGGCTGTGTCCCTTTTCAGTGTCCCTTAAATGTGTGAAAAAGCACAGTCTAAAGAATAGGTAATAAAAGCAAATATCCCCCTGATCATTCAGACACAGAAGAAAGAAATATAATTTATCATTACAAAAAACAAAGCTAACACTATTGTTTTTACATGGCAGCATGTTGCTGGTGTACAGGTGGGACTACCTAGTCCACCAGTGTAAATGGTATACCATTCTATAGAGCAGCTGTTGTGGAGCTGCTTTTGTGTGGCAGTCACTTCACTTAATTATCGTTCAGCATGACAGATGGCATTTGAAAATGTTCCTCTGAGCTTTTAAAATGACACAGCATGTATCTTACCATAGTGTTCTAATTTTGTCTAGCACTCTTCAAAATCACCACAGGTCACAGTTGAAATTCAAAACATCAGCAGTGAGGGATATGGGATATGGGTGGTTTGTATATAAAACATCAGAAATGCATTAACAACATCCTAGACCATTCTGATAGCAGCAATCAGCATTCATTTAAAATGTCATGAATTAATTAGAAATTAGAAATCTAATACGTTATGTATGCTACAAATGTCCAGTTTTCCGAGACAGCAACATGCAGTGGAAATTATTATGTTACATCACTATAAATATACTGACTGACCAGGGCCCTCTTTCCAATTACCAATTAAAGAGCATTTCCAAGTGCCAGCACATACAAACACAGACTGTTTGTAGCACTGAATTTGGCATATTTAAATTATATGATGAAATTATCTATGTAAATGATAAGGCATAAATTTAGGAGAAAAAAAAAAGAAAAAAAAGGAGAAGACTAAGGGTGGGAATGGAATGGCGGAAGGGGAAAAACCACTGCAAAGACGGGACGAGAAAAAAGAGAGGGAGGGAAATATTGCTGAAAGGTGAGTGACAGAGGTTACAGGGAGCTGGAGAAGAGAAGTTGACGACCCAGAATTTAGTTGAAGGTTCTTTCTAAAGGAAGAGAATCTGCAGGAGATGAGCAATCATTTAGTTCTGCAAATCAATGCCAGTCATATCCTATTGGTACATTTAGACTGCAGAGCAAAATCTAAACCAGGATTCTTAAACCTGCCCAGCTTCCCCTAGATACGAACATACACACACTGAGTGAAACATGGTTTCCCAAACATAGGGGAAATAATTTCAGTGGTGGAATAGGTGGAGTGTGTGATGTGAGCAGAGAAGATAAAGAAGATAAGATAAAAGTTGAGGGAGAAGGAAATGCAGGAAAAAAAACAACTGAATTGAGGTATGAATTGATGTAGTAATATATTAAAATGACAGTACTAATCAGTGTAAACAATACTGCTACATGCAAGGCTGGGGAGGTAGCCTTACTGGAAAAATGAATGAAAACACTTCACTTCAAAAACTTAACTTCAAAGATTCTTATTTGAAAAAATCAATATTATATTATATTTCTGCCAATTGATCCTCCTAAATGTTTCACAATGGACCTTTCTCTATAAACTGCATGATGGTAGGCTTTGTGGCTCAGTGGTTAGGTTGGGTTCAAATTAGGGATATAATGATATATATTGTATGACAATAGAAAAACATCTAATGTTTCATATTTTGCTCTATTGTTTATTTCATTGCATTATAAATTACACTCTGGAGTTCATATGAGAAAAAGATGTGCTATGAAGGGGTTGATGAGGCAGAGTTTCGATGCAAAGTTAATGGGCCGATGGAAATCAGAAAACATGTATGTTAATTCTCTAGTCAGTGTTCCACAGGCTCAGATCTGGAGTTGGTCCCCGGGTTTCGCAAAGTGTCTGCCCACTGCTCCTAGTACTTACTATAGGTCAAATGCAGAGAATGAATATCTCAACAGGGATTAATAAAAGATAACTCAATACAAGGTGGATAGCAGAAGGATGTGGTGTACAGTTACACAGTGTTACACCCTGCTGTCGCCCAATCAAAATACAGAACACTGATGTTGTTAGGTGGCAGTAACCAGTTACTGAAAGCACCTTTAAACTTAAGAAGGTCTGTAAAATAGATTACTCCATCTTTTCAGTCTTTAAAAGCTTTTGGGAAACGGGGCAGGTGGGCTTCTATGTCAACGTAAGAGTAGTAAAATTTGTTTTTCAGTTTAATTTAGACAGTATGAGTAACTATTTGCAATCAATCTTCACTTACAGCTACAGTATTTTGCACAACAGCAGACACAGTGTTCACTCTTTTGGATTAACTATGTCAAACAAGTTTTAATTCTCAGCAAATAGATTTTCATACCACGGTGACATGAGAGAAAAGGCAATGGCTGCCTTAAGAGATTATCAGTGTTTTGATTTTCCTTTGTTCTGTTCGCTCTTGTTCAGTGCACTCTTCTTGTCTCTTTTCTCCCCACTCTTTATAGGTGACCAAAACTATCTTCGCCATCCTGCTGGCTTTCATCATCACATGGACACCGTATAATGTCATGGTGTTGATCTCAACCTTCTGCCAATCCTGTGTCCCTGACACTGTGTGGGCTATTGGCTACTGGCTGTGTTATGTCAACTCGACTATCAACCCAGCTTGTTACGCACTGTGCAACGCCACATTCAAAAAGACATTCAAGAACCTGCTGCTGTGCCAGTATAAAAATATAGGTACAAGATGAGATGGAAGGAGAAGACTAAGGGTGGGATGAATGGGGAAGGGGAAAACCACTGCAAGACCGGGGGACAGAGGAAAAGAGAGAGGGAATATTGTTGAAAGGTGAGTGACAGAGGGTTACAGGAGCTGGAGAAGAGAAGTGGACGACAGAATTTAGTTGAAGGGTTCTTTCTAAAGAGAAGAGACATCTGCAGGAGATGAGCAATCATAGTTCTGCAAATCAATGCCAGTCATATCTATTGGTACATTTAGACTCAGAGCAAAATCTAAACCAGGGATTCCTTAACCTGCCCAGCTTCCCCTAAGATAGAACATATCACACACTGAGTGGAAACATGGTTTCCCAAACATAGGGAAAATAATTTCAGTGGTGGAATAGGTGGAGTGTGTGATGTGAGCAGAGAAGATAGTAATAAAAGTTGAGGGAGAAGGAAATGCAGGAAAAAAAACAACTGAATTGAGGTATGAATTGATGTAGTAATACATTAAAATGACAGTACTAATCAGTGTAAAACATAGAGGTACAATACTGCTACATGCAAGGCTGAAAAGGTAGCCTTACTGGAAAGATGAATGAATAGATGGATGGATGGTCAGATGGATGATAGGAGGTTGCAAAAGGGTACTCAGATAAATCAATGAAAGCTTGCATATGGTTATCTGTTACCTAAAGACAAAGTTGGGGTAAGAAATAATCAGGTGGTCACTAACAAATTTTAGGGGAAGGATAAATGTTTTTATCCATTGTTAAGGTAGATCTGACCAGGTAGAACACTCCATTGTGACTGTCAAAAAGGCATGATTGACTTATCACTGCTCTAAATACTCAGGTGGAAGGCTATTGGCTCCAGATATTGTCAGGGTAATATCTCTGAAATTGTGGGTTAGTAAAATGATTCTTCAAAGGTTGACAGAGATAGCACCAACACAAAGTATACACAATACAATCATTTGATCACAGAAAAGTGTTGAAAAAAAACAGTTCCACCTATGGTTATTAAAAAATGGTTATTAAAAAAACCACATGGTGGATTTTTCCCTTACAATCCAAAGTTACAAAATGTATGCAGGCACACTAATAATAATACTGCTAATATATTAGCATTAGTGAGAAAGCACTGTGAAGCCAGACAGTGTCTTTGAGTGAATTTGAGAGTCCTTGTCATCCTTCTGGTTTCTAACACATGGACACAGTATAAGGTTATGGTAGTGATCTCAACCTTCTGCCAGTCTCGTGTCACTGATACAGAGTATTGGCTACTGGCTATGTTATTATGTCAACTTAACTACCAACCAGGCTTGTTGCACACTGTATAATGCCAAATTCAAAAGGACCTTCATGAACGTGCTCAAGGCTATAAAAGTATAAGTACAAGATGAAATGGAAGGAAAACATTGAGGGTGGGATGGATTTGGATGGGGAAGATCACTGCAGGAATGGGGGAAAGAGGGCTGAGGGAGCTGGAGAATAGAAATGGATGACAGAATTCAGTTGAGGGGTTCCTTCTAAAGAGAAGAGACATCTGCAGGAGAAGAGCAGGAGATGACTGTGGTTTCTTTTGCAAATGAATGCCAGTAATAGCTGTTGGTTCATATAGACTCAGAGCGAAATGTGAGTGTAATCGAGGAATAACCTTAACCTGCCCAGTTTCCCCTAAAATAGAACAAATTACCATGCCTCTGTCAGATATTACAGATGTGTTTCCAATATACACTGCAGGAGTTCAGAAATAGATTCAAACTGTCGATGGCTACAGCGATAATCACAGCTACAGTCTGTCCCTATCACAGCAACAATCAGGAAACAGTATAGAGAACTACTGTAAGCAAGCATCCACTGATTATCTTTAATTAGCTTCAGTGATACAAACTTTTGGTTGAGCCAGCCACACCCGAGGGTGAGCATCCCCACCGTGGTCACAACAAGCCATTGTGAATAAATATTATACATAATGTTATATCATAATGTATCCAGGCTGTATGCTACTATTGACTTGAGTTCAGCATTTTTTTTATGAATCAGCAGAACGCATTATGTAATGTGAGGGAACGCAAAAACAGTTCAGGAAAAAAATTGCCACTGTGACCTTTTGGGTAGTCAGAAAAAACCTACAGCTTGGTCATTTTCATTTAGGTGTAGGCCAGCTATGATCTTGAGAAAATAAATATAACTAGGGTTGTTGTTTTTATTTAACCAATTGTTTCATTTTCATAAATGATTTGAGTGGCTCTATGGGACCACAAAACTGACTAATAAAATATGATGACATATTGAAATGGTGATTATAGAGGAGAAGGTAGCAACAGTACAAAGATGGAAAATCTAAGAATTTTATCTAGCACAACACATTCTGGCAGCCATTTTGAAAGTCTTTAGCTCATGAGCAACAATACAACTCTAAATGAGCTAGTTGTGATTCTAGACATACAACTATCATACATGTCGACTATCTTAATAAGTGCAGTGGGAAATGTTTTTTTTCCCCATTATGATTAGTTTGTACTGATGTCATTCCAGGTCATAATAATCAGGTTTCAGGTTTCAATATATTTGATTTTCATACTAATTGTTTAATTGCATAATTCATTTTTTGTTGATTTTGATGTGGACAAAAATGGTAGGGTTTTTACCACCTTGTTTGATTGATTTCAGTCGGTATCGAATCCGACCTAGTGGCAGGCATTGGGAATAACTAGCCAATCTTCTTAGTGATGTTAATGTAGGTCATATAGAGGTATCAGTATTAAATTTAGAGTGTTTCATAACCAGTTAACCACTTGCCTGCAGTTAGTAAGCAAACAGTTGTTTAGTTTAAATTTTTAATTACCACATTAAAATATGATTAAAGGCCTAGTCCCATTATCACTAGTTAATTACACCTCCCAATATGAAAGTTTCAAACTGCTGAAACAAAATTCTGATGATTGAACTTTTCTTAGAGCCTTACCAGTAATAGGACTGAAAATTTAGTTCTGACGACCCCACTATAAGGAAAAAAGTAAAAAAAGATGTCAATAGTAACTTTTAACCACATGATATCTTCTGACCTATATGGTGCTTTGACATGTTTAAAGAACTTTCATGCTCAAATCCATTTTCAACCTTCACACTTCACCAAAAAAAATACATAAACGCTATTTTGCTATGGTATTTCTTGTACGACTATACACACCAGCAACATGTGTGGCCAGTATGGATGTAGATACTGCCCTTTTAAAGGGGGTATGTGAGGTTTATTCTTTTCTGTTCAGTAGCAATAGCTGTTTATTGTATTTTCCCTCTTTAAGTGCTTTTCTTTGTTTGCATGTTTTCACACACGTCAAGTTAAATACAGAGGCAAAAAGGGAACAGATTGCTAATTGCGATTTTTTTCCCCCAATATTGCAATTGCGATTTAATATGCGATTTTTTATTTATTTTTTATTTTATCCTCTTTTTTTCCCAACAAAACATA